TACTCAATCACGCCAGAACGACTGAACGGATCTGGATGAAATTTGGCACAGGCAGATTTTGGTCTGGATTAGCACATAGGTTACTTTTTATTTTGGAAAAATGTACGGTTCCCGGGATAGATTTGTTTTCGTCTAGGGACGAACGAATCGCTAGTATTGTACAATTTTGTGGGTAGATAGTAGATACCGTCTATCACAACTATAATTTTGAGACGTCAAAAACCTGATTCTTCCCAGTGACCTTATTTGTGACCTGTAAAGCACTTGAAAAATCCGAAGAAATTGTCTTATTTAAATTATAAAAAAAAATGTTATTATTACTTACATTTTAACATAAAATATTTCAGCAAAGCTTAAATTGTGGAAAACTCTTTGGATGAGATTTTGGCGATCTCCCAACTTGGCAGCTTCACACGTGCACCACTTAATTGTTTCAAAAGAGATTTTAGATAATATTTTTACTTTTTTTGGCTTAACTTCTATACTTATAACAAATCTTTTGAGTATTTTTTGTGCAATTCGTTGTACACATGTTCATTTTTTTTTTGACGACACGTTTGACTCAATTTGTAGTGACCCTACTTGCCGTGCCAGCGGTTGAGGGTTGAGTCCTGCTGGACTGGACATTTTTGTGATGAACACGAATTAGTACTCCAGTCGTGGGTGTACATATATGTTTAGCCATTATTCGCAAAATCAAATATTCCCCCTTCGCGATTTTTTGCACACGCGTTAATAAAACAATAGAAATAACATAAAAAAACAACCAAATTGATTCACAAATTTATATCATTTTATAATGCTTCTGCAAATTAATTAATGTGTATTAATATAAGTTTTTTTAAAAAAAACATCATGTATAAAGAAGACACCTACACAATTTCTTTAACGCAAAGGTTTTTGTACTCGTCACAGTTCAAGAGTTTTACTAGAAATTGTGCAGCTTTGTTTCCGTATATCATTTTTGTCAGCTTCATCCCTTTCTGAAGAAGCGTTACGTACTGCTTATACCAATTGTTGGAACTGTTCTTTTGGAACTTGGCCCGACCCGGGACTCGAACAAAGAACCTCCAGATCTGGAGCAGTACATGTTAGCCACTACACCACCGAGATAGTGAATTCTTATACTATATAGTATATAATTATTCTTATACTCTACGAAAACGACTATATAATGATAATAAATTTAATTGCATTTAGTAACACCATCCTACTAATATTATAAATACGAAAGTTTGTAAGGATGAATAGGTGATCCCCTGGTGAATCCCTTCGATATCGTTTTTATTTACTGAGATTTCGTGATTAATTAGTGAGTGATATTTCACTTTTATATATAACGTACATGTTGTATACAAAATGGGGAGGCAGTGGTAGTCCGGTGGTAGCACGCTCGCTCGGAAAACCTGTGAAGCGGGTTCAAATCCCGAGTCTTGCACCTCTGATATTTCCATGTGCGAATCATTTCCAACATAATTGCCACTTGTAAAACAATCTTCATAGATACCAAATTTCATCTAAATCTGTTCAGTGAGAAAAGCGTAAAAAAGTAGCTTTCACATTTATAATATTAGTATGGATGTTTAGTATAAATAAAATGTTTAAATAGAACAAAAGCGTCCCGAAATAAAGCCACATTCACACGCCATGTACCAACAGACCGGAACGAGCATCGAACCTGCTACTGACGGCCTTAAGGTATAATTAAAAAGAAATTATAAATATCCTTCCTTCATATTACATAGTAAAAGTTATTAATAGTTGGTTAAAAATATTGTTCTTTACCTTTGTTTTATAAGGATGGTTTTTTTTAAGTTTGCGGCTTTATCATTAGAATTATATTTCTTTACTAGAAAAACACTAATAGAGATCTATTAGTTCCCACGGGAATCGTTCATTTTTCCGGGATGAAAAGTAACCTGTTGTTTGACCGACAATATAAGGTATCTGAATTAAATTTTACTAAATTAGGTGCATAAGTTGTTGTGTATTAAGCTGTATAAGATACTATAGTTTTTTTACTATCCCACGGGAACTTTAATTTTCCGGAATGAAAAGTATCTTAGATGTTGCTCGGGGATATAAGGTACCACCACGCAAAATTTAATTTAAATCGGTTCAATAGTTTCGGAGAATTAGCCCGTACAAACAGACTAACAGAAAGAGAAACAAAAAAATTAAAAAAAATCTGAATTTGTTCTATTTGTCTTCTTACGTCCCCCTGACTTGGTATTTAGCATTTTTTTTCTATGTACAGACATTCGACCTCTATAGTTTTATTATATGTATAGATCATTTCTTAGATATTTCTTAAAAGTATTTGTACATGTTAATACTAATGTCGAAATTAAACCATAATCATTATTAGAGTTCCGTACCCGAAGTCTGCCAACGGTACACTACTAATAAGTCTTCGCTGTCCGTCCGTTCGTCTGTCAGAGGGCTGTATCTCATGAACCGTAATAGGTAGAGACTTGAAATTTTCACAGAGTGTGTATTTCTATTGCCGCTATAACAAAAAATAAAATAAAAATAAATAAGAATAAAAAAAATAAAAAATATAAGAAACATTTTTTTAACATTCATAATCGATCATTGAAGTTAATATTACTACATACATACATAGCGACAGTCATCATATTAATAAAAATTACATATTGTGAGATGGTACGGAATCCTTCGAGTACGAATGCGACTCGCACTTGACCGATTTTTATTATTGATAGCACTAAAGATCGTCAATAGCTACTAAGCAAAAAAAATCAGTTGACAAACAGAGGAGAAGAAGGTATATATATATATATGTATATAAAGTCGGGTTTATAAATCTATTTTATAGTAAGCGTCAAAATGTCCTAGATACGAACCTGAGAGAAGCGAGTTTGATTGGTACAATAATATTCGTTTCAAACTCCTTGCACGTGTCAGTATCACACTTGTTCCATATTGTTATTGGAATATCTTACTTTTCCGGTTCGATCTCTATATCTAAATTCAATAAAACAGGTTTATTTCATTTTTATGGTGTAGGCAACAATAGCCTGATGATAGTGCACTCGGTTATAAAGCCTAATGAAGCGGGTTCAAACCCGGGGCATGCTTTTGATTCATCAATCATTTCCAACATGATTATCACTTGTCTTATCGACGAGACGTTTGGCTCAGTTTGTAGTGACCCGACTTGCCAGCGGTCGCGGGTTCTCGTCCCGCTGGCGGCATTCATTTGTGTAATGAACACGAATGTTCGTACTCCAGTCATGTGTGTTTATATTTATAATATGAATATATGTATAACTAATAGATAACTAATTATAACCTTATAATATAATTATAACCTTATAACTAATTATAACCTTATATATATAACTTTATATTATAATTTATAATATAAAGTTATGTACGTGTAGTGTATCAACTATCTGGTAACCATAACACAGACCTCGTAGCTTACCATGGAACTAGATGGTGCTGTGTGTTAATGTACCAACATATTTATTTACGGTGAAGGAAAACGTGACGAAACAGACAGAAGAAAACCTAACAAATTATTGAATGCTTTATTATTAAATACTCTCATTTTAGACTATTTTTTCGCCTTTGAAAGCAAACAAAGGCACAATTTTACTTTATTTTGTTCAAACATTTATAAAGATTCACTTTAGAATCTTTAATAAAACCTATTAAAAATTCGATGTCTGACCTTTAAAATGAGTCACGGTTACATCATATTTTTCCTGTTTCGTACGCAAACTTAAAAAATTTAACCTATTTCAAAAGAACATATTTTCGACTGTTAATATGTTTTGAATGGTGGGATATATTCAAAAAGTTTCCATACCAAAGGGTGGTTTTTTATATTCTTTTAGTTAGTTTAGTTTAGAAGTAATTATTAGTAATACAAACATTCAAATCTAGTTACATTTGCTAATATCAGTCACGTGTGAATCTAACGCTCCTTGTATTCCGTAGAACCCACAATTTTTTATTGAAAAGACAATTAAGTGATTTCGAGGCTATTATTACCCGACTGTGGCGATACCCAAAGTAGGGTCATGTGTTTGACCTGTATGTATGTATGAATGTATCCGTCTATGTTTCCTCATGATTACTAAATGGCTTAACCGATTTTGATGACGTATGTCGTACATCATTAGCTTCGTCTTAATAACGCGTGTCTCATAATGTATATGAATGTTATTATATGCAATATCTCAAAAATTTCATTGTTATTAATGAATTTCAAGACTAAATTCCACATCTTCGGATGGATTTATTACTGAAGCAATAATAAACTTGTTAGCCTTTTTAGTTAAAATTGAATATATTATTCTGCCGAAAGACTATTTAAGTGCTAAGTATCTATCACGTTATCTTTATATACGAGCTTTTATTTAACTGGCAATGTTTGTATGTATGTATGTATGTTTGTATATTTGTCCGGGTCAAATCTTGCAACTGAATTTCAAAGCAGTTATCCTCAATGGATTGAGATGAAATTTGGCATACACGTTTAGTTTAGATGATATTGCATGGTTAGATAAGTGACGTCATTCTAAATCCAACATGGCGAATTCCTAAAGATGGTGGACTAGGTTTTTTTTATGCATCCCCATGATATGGATATCAAATGAAATGGTTTGCTGAAAAAAATACGAATAAGTACCTAAATAAAATTCAAATTAAATCAAACTCATTCATTACATTACACAATTTATGTATACTTAATATTAAAAAGAGAAAAAATTTTTTTTGTCTATTCCGAATAAGCCCCAAAACTACTGGATCGATTTACATGAAATTTGCAAAGAAGATAGTTTGAGACCCTGGGAAGGACATAGGATCAATTTTCTCCCGGAAATCATCCCTTAAGCGGGTGAAAATGTGGTTGAAAGTTTGTAGGGGAAATCAAGCTAGGAACGAACCCGAACGAAGCGACTGTGAGTTGCTAGTATCATATAAAAGCTTTTTTTTAAATGTTTTTAATATTAATTTATTTCTAGGTTCTGAAGCTCAAATAGAATGTACGCCGGAGTACATGAGAGTGGTGGTGCCCATGGACGGAGACAGGAAAACGTCTTATCTGGACCAATTAAAAGGTTAGTTTGATCTTAAGAGACTTCAAAAAATGCGCGTTCATTATTTTTATGTATCACATACTTTAGGAGACGACTTGAACGTTATGGCTAGTTGAAATTGTTTTCTATTAAAAAAGATACGGAGATGGTCCAATAAAATTTTCTTTACAAGTAACGATCGAGGCTATAAAGAAAAACTATTAAATTTATAATATCTATTGGTAATTTGCTAGTCTTATTTATTGGCTGGCACAGATTATAAAAAAATATTTTAAATAATGGGAACGATACGAACAGATATCAAACCAAATGAAATATGTGATCTTTTTCAAATCAAATTAACCCAAACTCGAAGATTGTAGAAGCCATTGAAGAGTTCCAGTTTTACCTTCCAACATTAGGTCAACTGGACGATGTTAAATATATAATTATTTACTATTACTATGTGATCTTTTTCAAATCAAATTAACCCAAACTCGAAGATTGTAGAAGCCATTGAAGAGTTCCAGTTTTACCTTCCAACATTAGGTCAACTGGACGATGTTAAATATTATCCATCCAGATTTCACGAGCTTACGAAGACTGGAATCGACATAGTATTAATATAAGTATAATAATAATAATTTCCTCCAGGCCAATCTCGGTTAATCTCACTGAGACTAGTCAACTGCGCAGGAGATATTATAGTGCACAAGTGTACGCGCAGACACAACGTGCACTCTCTATTCCTGTCACTCTCATACTCCGGTGGGACGACTGCTCGACACGACCAGTGAGAGTGTCGGCGCAAGACCGACGGCTTTACGTACTCTCCGAGGCACGGGGGTGAAACACCGCCAACTTCCCAACTCCGGGCTGTTACTGAGACTTTTTTAACAGAAAGACTCAATAACCAAACGGCCCGACTCGGGACTCGAACCCAAGACCTCCGGATCTGCGACCGTAAATGCTAGCCACTATACGATAGTAAGTAAATATAAATATAAGATTATATAAATATTTTACCATTTATTTACATCTACTGAGTTTACCTTAAACTCAATTTGCCTAGAAATACATACATACATTTTGATACAAATCAGTGAAAGTGTGAGCAATATCTTTTCACACGATTTCAAAGGCTTTGTTAGATTTTTTCTCTTAATTGTTTCATTGTGGGATTAATTTCGTGTGATAATTTGCGTAAGGACGGTGTTTTCGACTTTAAAAGCTTATAGCTCGGTAACTATCGGCTTGAATAAATGTGTTGTTGTAAAATTAATCTCAATTTTAAAGACTTATTCAAAAGTGACGACGAAGTTGACGACACGTTTGGCTCAGTTTGTAGTGACCTACTTGCTGTGCCAGCGGTCGCGGGTTCGAGTCCCGCTGAGGGCATTCATTGAGTGATGAGCACGAATGTGTGTACTCCAGTCATGGGTGTTTATATTTATAATATGTATGTATTTAAAGTTTGTATATATGTAGTACATCAACTATCTGGTATCCATAACACAAGCCTCGTAGCTTACTATGGAACTAGATGGCGCTGTGTGTTAATGTCCCAAAATATTTATTTATTATTTATTTAAAAGTACCCCACGACCTTAAGTGGACTCAATTCTTATTTACCATTTGTATAGAAAAAATAGAGGTGATATTCCATTCGAAGGCAAAGAACAAGAAATATCCTATTGAATAGATTATGAGAAAAGAGCAATTTAAAGTTTAGAAATATAATATCTATAATGAGATCAAAGTATGTAGTAACTTGTTACTATGTAGATTTTTGGACAATCCTCCTTCTTTACATACATATGTATTCAGCCCTTTTAACGTCTCACTGCTGGGAGTGGGCCTCCCTTCAGTACGAGGGGGATCAGGCCATAGTCCACCACACTGGCCAAGTGCGGGTTGGCGGACTTCACATGTCTTTTTGAAAACTTGCTAAGTTTTCTCAGACATGCAGGTTTCCTTACGATGTTCTCCTTCTCCGTAAGACAAGTGGTAATCATGTTAGAAATGATTCGCACGTGATAGTATCAGAGTTGCAAGACCCGGGATTTAAACCCGCTTCACTCGGTTTCCCAAGCGCGCGCGTTATCACTGGGCTACCACTGCCTCTACATATGTCTTGAACATTCTCAGCTCTCTCCGCTTTGAGCATAGATAAAGACGTATTTATAGCGACATCGGTTGAGTATTTGTAAAATCCAGTGGCTGGGAATACAAGTACCATAGACATTCCAGTTCAAAACAAAAAAAAATGTGATTTTCCCTAATCTTTGCTTGTAACCTTCATTTATGTAACTGATTGCATAAAATATGGAGTGTCGCCACATTTTTTTTATTTTTCTTGAATTGACTTCTCTTATATAGAAGAAGAATAAAATGATTAATGCCCGATTTCACCAACAACCCATAAGCTACCATATGTGTATGGGATCCCTAGCTTAAAAGTCCCCTAAACTAGGCCCTAAATTAAATTTTGTTTTAGGATCGTCTTTAGGCCCATATTTCGAGCACCTAAATTTAGGGGGCCTTTTAATATTTAGGTAGCCCCTAACTGTCGGCGAAACAGAAACTGTCCCCTAACAGCCCCCTAACCATGCTTAGGGGATCCCTTAAACTTAGGTGACGTTGGTGAAATCGGGCATAAGACATACGGACAGATCGACAGACAGACTGAATTCCTGATAAAAGAGGACCGTTTTTGCATTATGCCTACTGAATAATAAGCAATCGGTCAAGGTCAAATTTGACGACTTGTGAACAACTAACCTGATATATGTAGATCATATTACCATAAAACATTAGCTATTAATCTATACATATATACAGATAAATAAAATTTAAGTGTCTGTTTGTAATATCAAAATAACAGCTTTTTACTACCTATAAGAAAGACATTTTTTTTTTTGGGCACCGTCTATATAATTTCTTTGGTCTGACATATATACATACTATCTTTACCCCGCGGTTCAACCTGACCTCATATTATTAACATAAAGCTATATGAAAGTATAGTGCATAAGTTTGGTCCCATTGGACTTAAGCAGAAAAAACAAAGATGAATACTTTTTATACGTACACTAGCATCTGAACGCGACTCCACCCGCGTTCAGATGACCAAAAAAGTTATGTCAAGTTAAAGAATCACCTAGGGACGAGCCAGAGCGAAGCGAGGGTGAGTCGCTTGTATTATGATAAACAACAAATGTACACGTATCTATACATATAATAAAATTGTAACTAAACCGAATCTGTACATTAGATATTTTTTGGAAAATCTTATTGAAATAAGCATTATTATCGATACAGAGGCCGAATCTATTGTTTTTAGAATTTTTGTCTGTCTGTCTGTTTGTCTGTCTGTTACCGCATCACAGAAAAAACACTGAAGGGATTCTGATGAAATTTGGTATGGTGATAGCTGGTTACCCGGGTCAACATATAGGATACTTTTTACCGCGGGAAAAAATACAAAAACTGCATTGTAGTATGTAAAACCTAAGAATTTGGTTTTTGGTCATCTGAACGCGGGCGGAGCCGCGGGCAATGCTAGTTTTACAATATGTAGAGATAATACATATATAGCCCCATCTTTTGCAAAATTTCGTTACTAGTAGTGACCTATGTGTCCAGGTCATAGTATGTGTAGTAAATTTTATCCAAATCGATCCAGCCGTTACAGCGTTAAGAAATTACAAACATACATACACAAATTCGCACATATAATAGTAGAATCATTAAATTGCATGTTGATTGTTAAAATATACAACGTTTTAGAGTAAAAAATAACGCTTTCATGAGAAAATAACATTACGTTCAATAGAGATGTATGTATATGGTTGGAAATAACAGTCTGTTGGCTATATTAGGAGGCACCGTCGTAATGCTGCTACTACACCTGCGATTCAATTAATAGTGTAATTAAATTTTATGCGACTTTAAAGTCGAAATCGAAGTCACGAAGGAAAAAAGGCGAGTTTAAAACATTGCGTATGTGTTTTAGTTTTTTTTTGTCTATTTCGATGCTTTGTGTAAGTGAAATTGGCTTTAAAATTATATGTTCCTTTGATGTTCAAAGATTATCTTTAAAAATACGAGTAATAATGCAGATAGAGACAGACTACTGAACGGGTTTTGATGATATTTTACAGTTATATATAAATTCTTAGTACTACCAACTCTAACTACGTCTTTGAAACCGAGGGAAAACTTTTATTTCACTATTTGAGTGGATGTTTTTTTTTTTAATTTAAAAGGTGTTAGCCCCTAAGATATAGCCTATGCATCAAAAAATATGAAAATCAATTTTTAATTGGTGGCTGGTACATCTTGAAATAAGAAAAAACAGCTTATGCTACTCTTATTCGAACCATCTATCCGACCGTGAAAGTGATATTAAAATTGATTTAGCCGTTTTGTCTTAGGAGATAAGAATTTTTTACAGGATAATTATAGTACATTTCCTTAATAAGTGTTGGACAAAAAGTCGTATGCGTTCAAAAGGAATAGTGATTTTGAAATCATAGACTAACATTTTCCCACTGACATTAAATTCAATGAATAAGTATAAATAAACAAAAATACACGAACAAAATCACACAATACTAGCGGCTCACCCTCGTTTCGCTCGAGTTCACCTCTAGGAAAACAAAAACAAACCTATCCCACGGGAACCGTAGATTTTTCCGGGATAAAAGCAGCCTATGCGTTATTCCAGTAATCTATCTCTATGCCAAATTTCATCTAGATCCGTTCAGCCGATCTGGCGTGATTTAGTAACAAACATCCATACTCACAAACTTTCATATTCATAATATTTATACAGATTCGTAGTTTAATAAATTTTTATTACAGTTTAGCAATAAAATTAAATATAAAACACGCACGTGTGGCACTAACATAAGGTGATATGTTAAAGTACTTCCGCAATAACTTCCTTTTAAACCTTTTTACTATTATTATCTCTTTCCAAATACGTACATATAATGCTAATAAAATATACATATAGATAAGATATGAGAAAGCCTCAG